ATTCTACTCCAGGAACAAGACTCCATACACAGTGCATTTTGTACAGTTGTACAGAAAGGAAGGACTTTCTATATGCCGTAGACCAGTGTCCCATAGGAAGCACTGCATAGTCCATTCATCTTTGCTTGTCAGAAAAACCAGCACACAGTGGATTGACAGATATCTACTGCACACTTTTGTTCTCAGTGAAGATTTATCACTCATACTAAAAACTCTCCCATCCTTAAGCTAGTGAAAAGGAAACACAATTAAAAAGAAATGCTGTAAAATAGAAACAAGTCAAAATTACATCTCTAATCAAATATTTCCTCTGGGTACTAGACAGCTATTAGGTGGTTTGGTGCAAGCTTAAGACGCCTCACAAAAGCCCCTTATCTCCAACAGTGCAAATGAGGTTAATGGACTCATTTTCACCCTGTGATTCACTTTCTCTCTTCTGCTTTTTTGTTTTATGCAGATAATTGGAAACAACAAAGAAACATCATTCTCTAGAGCTTAGTAGGGAAAAGAAGTTCACTTCTTTCCAAAAACCCAAATTCAAGACAAGAAAGAGCAGGAAAATAAAACCAGTGGGGAGAGAAGAATAACTATACAGAAGGGTAATAGGCAATTAGCACCCACCCTCCCACATACACCAGCACACATTCACACAATCTACAGAAATGCCTGATCTTTAGCACAGCTTCCCCTAACTCTTAGGCTTGAATAAAACATCCTTGCTGTCGGTCCCTTGGGAGGATCTTAGTAGTGCTGGGACACAGCACAGCAGAAGCACAAAGGAAGGAAAAAAAAACAACCCGACTACAACAGTACCGAACGTGATCTACTCTCTGCCAGAGAAATAAAGAATCCTCTTATTACTTACTCTTATGATTTACTTATTTTTCAAAACTAGAAAAGCGTGTTGCGTAGGCAGAAATCACAAAAGATGCCGATTTCCACAACTCCTTTATTCCAGTATTGCTGTACACGTCGTAAAAATCTGGGTTTAGTGGTCAATGGCAAGCATTTCTATTCAAATGAATGAATAAACTAAGGAATAACCAGAACACATTGAGGAACTAGTTCTGAGGGAGTGTCAGTCAGGTTTGGTTTCTCTAAAAGGCCAGCTTGCTCAAAATGGCAGCTGGAGGCTGCTACTAGACAGAGAGATTGACTAACCAGGCCCAGTATACCACCCAGAGTCCACAGGAATTCAAAGCCTTCACAGGCTTTTACGCAGTGTTCAACTGGCCCTTACTGTACCATATGGTACCACACAAAGACGAAGGGAACACTCCGACTCACGGGTTTGTTCCTGCTTCTGCCCAAATTTCTAACGCCACGAGTAAGCGCACAACTGTCCCCTGTCTCTGCATTCCCCCTATTATTTATGTAGTTATTCTGGACTGAGTCATAATCAAGTTTTAATCAAAATACTGTGAGTAAAATTAAGGACTTTTTCAGACATCACAGTGAACCTCTCTGTGTAAAACTCAGCTTAAACTTCTGATTTGTCTGGAGTGTATTATCATTACGTTTAGCATAGTAATACTCTCCTTGCCCACTCAGTCTTTAATCCATTCCCAATTTTGATAGATTTTCTATTTTATTATGAAACTAATATCATGGGATATTGCTAGCACAAAGTTATGACAACAATATATGAAAATGATCATTTTTCTGAAAAATAGACACTGTCTCAAAAATTCACATTCAAATACATGGTACTTCTCTTACAGAAAAAGCTGTAGATATTTTCACAGAAAAGGTCTATTTAGTGTCCACCTTACTACTTCAAGGCACTACCCATTTTATTGTAATTACTTTTCTATTAAAATTCTCTGATATATTTTTGAGAAAATATTGTACTGCAGTGTGGAAATGCAACCTTTAAGTCTTTTCTTCAGCAAAGACACCACCATTGCTTGTATTACGTATTTGCTATATTGACACCAGAAGACCAGAATATAAAAAGACACACTTTGAAATCAGGGAAAGGGAAAACTTGGAGATCAAAACATTTGCATACATGTGGTATCTCTTTCAAAGATGAAATAGTAAAATTGAAATCAGAAGAGTATACGTGTTCATAGCCTTCTAGAAATGCTGTACAAACTCTCAGGACACAAATTCAGTGGACTGAGCTTTCTCAGTGTTTCATAAGATCAAGAAATACAGCAGTGGGATGGGATGAATATAGCAACATCACTATATTTAAAACTGATCATTTAACTTCTGCATCTGCAATATATGTTTGAATTTTAATAAAACAAAGGTTTAATAGTAAAAATACCTGTAACTATTGTATTCGGATCTCTAGCAAAGAAATCTACTGGGTTCCTTTTCACATTGAAAATTTATTATCACCTAAGAACTGATAATGCTTTCTGCTAGCCTTCTAGCAGTCTGCAAAATACCAAACATACTATCCTCTGAATTCAAGAGGCAGTTGTCCCTTTCCTAACCAATTTTGCATCTTTGCACAAATAAAGAATTTGACACTTTCTTATCTGAACTTACTCCTGATGAAAACATCTTTGATGACAATTACCAAGTGGTGGAAATGTTTGACGTTCCCCCCTATTCTCACCTCTATATCCTCTTCTTGCAAATATTATTTATTAGCAGCCATAACTCAGAGTGCTTATAAAGAAAAATAAGGAGGAACATATACATATAGAGGGAATAGAATAAAAATACTTTTCCCTCACAAGATGCAGATTGTGAATATAAAGATTAGGTTTCTAATATGCATCCAATATGCAACTTTAAGTTGCAAGTAATCTCTAATTAACAGATATATATAACAAAATAAATAATATATATATCTCAATATTCATGTGAGAGTATACTAAAAGAAATAGGTTCCTCAGATCCAAGTCAGAAATAATGCTCCCTCAGATTCACAGCCTGAGACAGTTAAAATGCAGAAGTAGTGTTGCAAATGCAGACTTCTTACTTTGAAATAAAACTGGACATGAAAGTTAGGACACTGCTATTCTTTTGATATACCTTTAGAAGACCTTTCAGATTATAAAAGATAATAAGGAAAAACAAAGAAACCCATAGCTTATGCAAAGGGATCATGTATTTGGGTGAACAGATGTGGGAATGACCCTTCAGGGAATTCATGATTGACTTTCATATCCCACTAGAACAAGATCTACATGCACACTTTTTTTTTTATGGAAGGATGCTGGGATTATAAAGTACAGGTCAACAATTAGAAGTCAAGCAGGTTTCAGAATCCAACTGAAATGAACAACAAATCAACCTGTATTTTCACTGAGAAAGCGTATAAAAACTACCTGGAGAAACTAGACAATTTGTCCCTCACAACTAAAGAGTCAGAGGTAAAAGACATTTAGACAAAATCAATCAATCTCTCTCCAGAAATGTAATAATGGTCTGGGGATTTTACCTATCTAAATTAACAGAATTTAGCACTAGATGTATTATGTAGGGCATTTCTTTTCATTTTTATCCCATGTGTGCATCTATAATGAGAATGTCTCAGACTGTTCTGACAAATTGAATGCAGTATGTTTTGATGACAAAATAATTTTCAGGCTTTAGCATGTGACAACTGGATGTGCTAAAACTCTGATTCGAGGCAACATGCTAAAAAATCTATTCAGGACATTAGCTGAATTAAAGATATTGGAAAAGACACATGTTGCAGCAACAGGAAGTTTAACTCTTTTGACAGATCAACTTTAATTTGGTAATATTTGTCTTAGACTGAGATATCATCATTTCCACAACGTTTCCTGCAAGCATGTGTCATCAATACCTTCAGGATTAGAATCTATTTCTAATTAACTGTATATTCGTTTTGTAACATTATATAAACACTACTTTCCATAAGTATTTTTAATGATTCCACTGATAGGAGATAATGAAATGAGATTAACCTTGGAAGGATTTTTTCCCTTTCTATTTAAGGTACTTCATATGCCACTAACTTTTCTATCTCTTGAGTAATGTTATGACTATTTGTAGTATCACATTTATATTTTTATTTTAATTAGCTACATACCTTGCAAGTTTGGAAAAAAAAAAAACACACCAGTTTTGAACACTGATAAATTTATATTCAAAATTTGTGTTCTCTGATGAAGCTTTCATGTGGAACCTCACACGTGTGCAATGCTTCACAGCTCTCTTTTGATCATAGCATTTGAGCTTGCTGAGAATTCTGCTTGAACAAGGATTGCAGGTCATTGCTGAATTGGATGTTTTTAAAAAAACCTCGCTAACAGTACAAAAAAAAATATTTACCCTTGAGTTAAAAAACCCTTAATGACCTTCCCATATAAGACAGTAGTTTATGAAAAATATTTTTGGCATGTGTAATAGGCTTTTTAATATAGACATTTAAATATATATTTAAAGGATCCAAGAGTTTTGATGGCCTTTTTAATTTTCATAAATGGTAACAAAGGAGAGCAAGATGAATAAACATTCAAGTGACAGTTTGCAAGAACTCTTTTTAGTATCTGGTCTGTCAATAGACAGAAATACTGTACAATCTTAGGCTTCAATTTATCAAAGCTTCTTAATTACCCGCAATCATGACAGCTCTTAAAAAAATCAGCAAAAGGTTAAGACCTGTCCTGAACAATAATATTTTTTTGTCTTCAGGATTCCAAACTTGAAAAGGTAAGTTTATCTCTCTTCTCACTGCCATTTAATTAAACTACTAATGGAAGGCTGCCCTTTCAGAGAATGGTCTCTGAAATGTTCAGAGAAGATCTGGGAAATTATTCCAAATTAGATTGACTCTTGTACAGAACTTCTCAGGGTTTCTTTTGCAAGGATGAGGAGGTGTAAAAACATTCTTCAAAGTGAAATTAAGTTTAGTATTTTACTTTTTCATGAGCAGCACCTAGCCATTTTAGCCATATTACGATCAGTATGAACAAATTACATCCTGAGCTCCATTTCACCCATTATGTAGATTAAAAGACAACGGCACTTTAAGCACATATATGTTTTGATTTTTATTTTTTTTTTACCTCCAAAGAAGTATTTCTCTCCAGTCTTAACTTGTAGAGGGCTGTTAGTTCGAACAGCTGAAGCTTCATCGCCATCAATGGTGAGGACAGCAAAATTTTCCTTAGCTAGGAATCGGACTTCATGCCACTGCCCGTCATTGAGTCCAGAGCCTATGAAGAACAGAAAACATTGGAACATTTTACTTAGTCCAATATATATTATTTTAAGTGTTTTGTGTGTTTCTCTCCCAGGCACAGTAAGGTTTAATGAAGGCTACTGCATAAATGAAATAATTTTAGTGCAATAACAAGGCACTGTTATTAAAGTAACTATTACAAAAAAAACCCAAAAACATTATACCATAAATACAAGCCTTGGAACTACCGAAATGTCCACGCTGTCACGTATAGTTGAGCTTAACTAGAGATGTTATCACTCACATTCCCCATCAAAAAGCCATATCCTACATTTTACTAATAAAGAATATCTCTTAATTGTTTCCATGATCAAGTTCAAAAGAAAAAGATATTGATTATCCATTTAACTATAGTGAGTAACAAGCCCAAAGGGCACATTATGCTCGTGATCGTTGCCTTTATCAAAAGCTAGCTATTTCTAAGAAAAGTGAAAGAAAAAATAGGAGGCTTGTGAAAGGTGAGTTCACAGCTAATCCTGTCATTGGCATGTGGGGCTAGTCACAGAAGACGAAGACATTATCACAGAGGCACTGCAAAAATAGAAAATGTCTGCCAAAATCTGCAATCTTAGGGGAGTACCATCCTCCCAATACTGACAGCAGTGAAGCAGATGGACCTGTTCGTTCATTCAGATCTTTTAAAAACCGCACAATTTATATACTTCTGACACTGTCTCCAGCAGCTGGCAGGAACCCAGTTTGCCTGGCATGTTAAGCTGCCATTGAAGAACAGCAAAAGAACACTAATTTGTTCTGGTCATAACCATGCAGGTAGGTTGTGTTGGGTCAGCAAGTTAAGTACTAAACACTTTAGTAAAAGTAAATTCCAAATTACGTCTTACAAGTGTCATTTTCTCCACCTAGACAAAGGTACTAAGTCACCTTAGCAAAATGTCATTTGCCGAAATAAATCACAATGCGATGCAATAAGCTGTTCCTAAAATTAAGTGGGATGCACAACATCAGCAGAAGTATAATGGAAGATAAACTTTCCAAATATTCAGAAGAATGTTATCTTCTATGAACAAGTAATAATATTCATAGCAAACAGATATACCTAGACATTTAATGAATATTTTTTTCCCACTGCTTCTACGTGTTTGTTTAAGATACAAGATCAAGTCCTGAAATAACACGGAGTGTTATACCTTGGAATATTCATTAGTGTGAATAAAAGTGGCAACAGCCTCTTCAAAAAAAATATCAGTAAGAAATGTTTCCACCAAAACTTATTCAATCTAGTATAAGAATAGAGGAAAGACTTAATATGATAAACATGAGAAAAGTTTTCTGTCTGTTTGTGACCTCCTTTTTCATTACATTTGACAAAGAAGAAACAGAAAAACACCTAATTACAACCCAGATAAAATTAATTTATACTGATAATAAACTCAGAAAGGACAAGAAAATACGCCTTCTCATTGAGTTCCAAACCAAAATTGTTACAGTGTGTGTTTATACAACTGAAGTTTAACAGAACATACTTAAAACTGGATTTTCCATCTCGAGATGACCTATCATTAAAAGATCTGTGTCAGTTTTTATTGAGGCATTCAGTATTGCCTTAAACCGAGTAACAACAATTAGAGACTTCTGGGCAAAATTAAAACTTGGGTATTAAAATACGAGGGGTGAAAACGGGCCATTCGCCAGTGAGCCCGGTGGGAGGCAGGTCTGAAGCACTCTCTGGAAAGGGGGGTACTGCAGAAACCAAGAAACAACAGGACATTGGGCAAGGAAGTGTCAGCCTACCTGGCACCACCATTTGTATTCTATCAAAAGATAAGCTTTTGCACCTTGACAGCCTGTGACTAAAGAAATGACGCCAGGACTCCAGACAGTTCTTCCAAACATGTCCACCTCCCACGAGCATCCAAAACGCCACTGGTTTTCTCTTGCTCCTGAACTGAATTTGCACTGGCGACTGATGTAGTTACCTGGCAAATGCCTCTCTCTTAAAAGTTTTCAAGTAGTAACTTGCAAGGCCACTGCTGTTTGTGCTTTGATACACTTTTTTTTTTTTTTTTTGACACCATTCACCAAGCAGACAAAACCTTCCAGCCAATTTAAACAGAATTAGATATAAACATACACAGAAAACTTTACCTGGTGCAGTTGCGGCAAGGGTGTCTGTGAGGCGAGGGGAGGGGAGGCCGGGCTGCCCCGGGCCG